AAGCCCCAGGAAACCATGTAAGTCTCCCAGCCCAAATTCACTACTCCCATCTACTACAAATTCATTCTTTTAAGTTAATAGTAGTAATTAACAACACATCGGACTCTAGTGCAGAAATGGAATGTGAAATGTGAAGACTAACCAAAGGGTCTGTGAAATTCTTCCCTCTAATCTCTCCAGCTGTCCCATCTGCAATTCTACTTGCTTTACCCCATTTCCACTACATGCCCCCCCCCCCACCTCAAGACACAACCATCCAAGTTCCAGATAGTTTAGCAACTAGGAAACAACTTAGGCCTGCAGTCAGCAAGGCATGCCTATAATACTAGTTACTAAAAGGCTGAGGTATGAGGATCCAGGTTCAAAGCCAGCTAGGGCAGGAAAGTCTGTGAGACTCTCTTGTCCAATAAACTTCTCAGAAAAAGCCAGAAGTGGGGCTGTGGCACAAGTGGTAGAGGGCTAGCTTCGAATGCAAAGAGGCTCTGGGATAGAGACTAGGCCCTGACTTCAAGCCCCACGGAGGGTCGAAACAACACAACAAAAAGCCCACAACCAACTTGATTTAAAATTACAAGTGGCATCCTGTGATTGCATAATGAGGCAGAAGTGAACACCCTCCTTTTTTCTTTCGAGGCTGCTTTCATGCATGCGGGTGCATGCATCCCCTACATAGCCCACGCTGGCCTCCACCTCGCTCCTAGCTCCTCCCTGCCTCCACCCTTGTCTAGCAAAATTCTACTATCTTTTCATAACATGCATGAGGTACACGCAAAGGAGAGGGGCACCGAGTCCCAAGGGCCTCTTGCCATTTGTTTTGTGCACCCAGAGTTAAGTCTACTACACCCCATGGCATCTCACTTTGCTCCTCAGTTTAAAATAAGATGCGACGACGCGCGCCCACCCGACAGTGGCCAAGTTTACACGAGTTAACGGGGCTGTTTACCAGATCCCAGTGTCTCACCGCTCAACTCGGGGAGGGGTCGGTATTTTGGAGTTGGGGAGGGGATGGGAGGGGGAGGGAAAGCTGTGAATGAAAAAAAGTCACCACGTCCACGAAGGGACACCCGCTCGCCTGGGGCGGGGGGGGGGGTGGTGGTGGGAGGAGGCTGTGTG